ATGCCACGGGTTCAGAATATAAATAATAACTACTTTACGACCCGGGTGGGCTCGAACCACCAACCTTTCGTTTAACAGCCAAACGCGCTAGCCAATTGTGCCACGGAAGCTCTAACCGCTTCTTGATAATTAAATTATATATAGCATATCAATAATTATACTTATTGAACAATAATGGGTATAAACAACGATTATTCTTATACCCAATAAACTACACTAATCTGTAACGCACGGCCCAACCGGGCCCGATTCACTTTACACACAAATAGTTAACATTTACTTCACTCCTATAAAGTATACAAACTGAACAAAGTCTACTTTTGGTTTGAGGGACAGCTTCTGAAACGCTGTACCCCCATGTAATAAATAATATGCTCTATAATATGCACTATAAGATATGTCCGGGGCTCGTCCGGTATTTATCCCGATACCTCCGCCCGCACCCAAAGTGGGAATCATACCCCTAGACTGCCCACTGCGTGTTTGTGTTGGATCCAATACAAAATACACAACATTGTAGTGAACAATAGGCACTCGAATTTAGAGAAATGTCCGGGCTCGTCCGGGATTTGAACCCGGGACCTCCCGCACCCAAAGCGGGAATCATACCCTAGACCAACGAGCCACGGGTTGTACCCACTGCGTATTTGTGTTGCATCCAATGTACAACATGCCACGGTTCAGAATATAAATAATAACCACTTTACGCCCCCGGGTGGGCTCGAACCACCAACCTTTCGGTTAACAGCCGAACGCGCTAGCCAATTGTGCCACGGAGGCTCTAACCGCATCTTGATAATTGAATTATATATAGCATAAACAATAATTATACTTATTGAACAATAATGGGTATAAACAACGATTATTCTTATACCCAATAAACTACACTAATCTGTAACGCACGGCCCAACCGGGCCCGATTCACTTTACACACAAATAGTTAACATTTACTTCACTCCTATAAAGTATACAAACTATACAAAGTCTACTTTTGGTTTGAGGGACAGCTTCTGAAACGCTGTACCCCCATGTAATAAATAATATGCGCTCGAATTAAAAGAAATGCCCGCGCTCGTCCAGAATTTGAACCCGGGACCTCCCCCACCCAAAGCGGTAATCATACCCCTAGACCAACTTACCACTTGTCCTTCAATGCGTGTTTGTATTGTATCCAATGTACAACATTGTAGTGAACAATAGGCACTCGAATTTAAAGAAATGTCCGGGCTCGTCCGGGATTTGAACCCGGGACCTCCCGCACCCTAAGCGGTAATCATACCCCTAGACCAACGAGCCACGGGTTGTACCCACTGCGTATTTGTGTTGCATCCAATGTTGTAACTAATATGTTTTCGATCCAATATACAATACTGTAGTAAATAATATGTGCTCAAATTTAAAGATATGTCCGGGGCTCGTCCGGTATTTTTCCCGATACATCCCGCACCCAAAGTGGGAATCATACCCCTAGACTGCCCACTGCGTGTTTGTGTTGGAACCAATGTACAACAATGTTGTAAATAATATGTTCTCGATTCAATATACAATACTGTAGTAAATAATATGTGCTCGAATTTAAAGATATGTCTGGGCTCGTGTAAACTACATATATGATAAATAATATAATCATCAAATACTATTTGGTATAAACAATATGCATTGAATATTTCAGAGTATAAATAATAACTACTTTACGCCCCCGGGTTGGCTCGAACCACCAACCTTTCGGTTAACAGCCGAACGCACAAGCCAATTGCGCCACGGAGGCTCTTATCGCTTCTTGATAATTAAATTATATATAGCATAAACAATAATTATACTTATTGAACAATAATGGGTATAAACAACGATTATTCTTATACCCAATAAACTACACTAATCTGTAACCCACGGCGCAACCAGTGCCCAATACCTGTCCATACATCGGGCCCGATTCACTTTACACACAAATAGTTAATATTTACTTCACTCCAATAAACTATGCAAACTATACTAAGTCTACTTTCGGTTTGAGGGACAGCTTCTGAAACGCTGTACCCCCATGTAATAAATAATATGCGCTCAAATTAAAAGAAATGCACGCGCTCGTCCAGGATTTGAACCCGGGACCTCTTCACCCATAGCGGGAATCATACCCCTAGACCAACTAACCACATGTTCTACCCAGTGCGTGTTTGTGTTGCATCCAATGTACAACATTGTAGTAAATAATATGTGCTCGAATTTGAAGGGACCTCTCGCACCCTAAGCGAAAATCATACCCCAAGACCAGCGAGCCACGCGGTCTACTCAATAAACCTCTATACCAACGAGCCACGGGTTATACCCAGTGCGTGTTTGTGTTGGATCCAATGTACAACATTGTAGTAAATAATAGGCACTCGAATTTAAAAAAAATGTCTGGGTTCGTCCGGGATTTGAACCCGGAATCATACCCCTAGACCAATGAGCCACGGTTTGTACCGACTGCGTATTTGTGTTGCATCCAATGTACAACATGCCACGGGTTCTACTCAATAAACACATTTTCTACATGATTTGCCAGTTACGTTTAATATCTAAGCCGAAATCATAACCCTAGACCAACAAGCCACGGGTTTTATCCAGTGCATGTTTGTGTTGGAACCAATGAACAACATTGTTGTAAATAATATGTTCTCGATCCAATATATTATACAATACTGTAGTAAATAATATGTGCTCGAATTTAAAGAAATGTCCGAGCTCGTGTAAACTACATATATGATAAATAATATAATCATCAAATTCTTTTGGGAATAAACAATATGCATTGAATATTTCAGAATATAAATAATAATTACTTCACGCCCCGGGTGGGCTCGAACCACCAACCTTTCGGTTAACAGCCGAACCGCTTCTTGATAATTAAATTATATATAGCATAAACAATAATTATACTTATTGAACAATAATGGGTATAAACAACGATTATTCTTATACCCAATAAACTACACTAATCTGTAACGCACGGCCCAACCAGTGCCCGATATCTGTCCATACATCGGGCCCGATTCACTTTATACACAAATAGTTAACATTTACTTCACTCCTATAAAGTATACAAACTATACAAAGTCTACTTTTGGTTTGAGGGACAGCTTCTGAAACGCTGTACCCCCATGTAATAAATAATATGCGCTCGAATTAAAAGAAATGCCCGCGCTCGTCCAGGATTTGAACCCGGGACCTCCCCCTCCAAAGCCGGAATCATACCCCTAGACCAATGAGCCACGGGTTGTACCGACTGCGTATTTGTGTTGCATCCAATGTACAACATGCCACGGGTTCTACTCAATAAACACATTTTCCACATGATTTGCCACTTACGTTTAATATCTAAGTAAATATCTAAATCATAACCCTAGATCAACAAGCCACGGGTTTTATCCAGTGCATGTTTGTGTTGGAACCAGTGAGCAACATTGTTGTAAATAATATGTTCTCGATCCAATATACAATACTGTAGTAAATAATATGTGCACGAATTTAAAGAAATGTCCGGGCTCGTGTAAACTACATATATGATAAATAATATAATCATCAAATACTATTGGGAACAAACAATATGCATTGAATATTTCAGAATATAAATAATAACTACTTTACGCCCCCGGGTGGGCTCGAACCACCAACCTTTCGGTTAACAGCCGAACGCGCTGGCCAATTGTGCCACGGAGGCTCTAATCGCTTCTTGATAATTAAATTATATATAGCATAAACAATAATTATACTTATTGAACAATAATGGGTATAAACACCGATTATTCTTACACCCAATAAACTACACTAATCTGTAACGCACGGCGCAACCAGTGCCCAATACCTGTCCATACATCGGGCCCGATTCACTTTACACACAAATAGTTAACATTTACTTTACTCCTATAAAGTATACAAACTATACAAAGTCTACTTTTGGTTTGAGGGACAGCTTCTGAAACGCTGTACCCCCATGTTATAAATAATATGCGCTCGAATTAAAAGAAATGCCCGCGCTCGTCCAGGATTTGAACCCTGGACCTCCCCCACCCAACGCGGTAATCACACCCCTAGACCAACTTACCACATGTTCTACCCAATGCGTGTTTGTGTTGCATCCAATGTACAACTTTGTGATGAATAATATGTGCTCGAATTTAAAGAAAAGTCCGGGCTCGTCCGGGATTTGAACCCGGGACCTTCCGCACCCTAAGCGGTAATCATACCCCTAGACCAACGAGCCACGGGTTGTACCCACTGCGTATTTGTGTTGCATCCAATGTTGTAACTAATATGTTTTCGATCCAATATACAATACTATGTGCTCGAATTTAAAGTTATAGATAGTAAATAATATGTGCTCGAATTTAAAGATATGTCCGGGGCTCGTCCGGTATTTATACCGATACCTCCCGCACCCAAAGTGGGAATCATACCCCTAAGACTGCCCACTGCGTGTTTGTGTTGGATTCAATGTACAACATTGTAGTGAATAATAGGCACTCGAATTTAAAGAAATATCCGGGCTCGTCCGGGATTTGAACCCGGGACCTCCCGCACCCAAAGCGGGAATCATACCCCTAGACCAACGAGCCACGGGTTGTACCCACTGCGTATTTGTGTTCCATCCAATGTACAACATGCCATGGATTCTACTCAATAAACACATTTTACACATGATTTGCCGCTTACGTTTAATATCTAAGCCGAAATCATAACCCTAGACCAACAAGCCACGAGTTTTATTCAGTGCGTGTTTGTGTTGGAACTAATGTACAACATTGTTGTAAATAATATGTTTTCGATCCAATATACAATACTGTAGTAAATAATATGTGCTCGAATTTAAAGATATGTCCGGGGCTCGTCCGGTATTTATCCCGATACCTCCCGCACCCAAAGTGGGAATCATAGCCATAGACTGCCCACTGCGTGTTTGTGTTGGATCCAATGTACAACATTGTAGTGAACAATAGGCACTCGAATTTAAAGAAATTTCCGGGCTCGTCCGGGATTTGAACCCGGGACCTCCCGCACCCAAAGCGGGAATTATACCCCTAGACCAACGAGCCACGGGTTGTACCGACTGCGTATTTGTGTTGCATCCAATGTACAACATGCCACGGGTTCAGAATATAAATAATAACTACTTTACGACCCGGGTGGGCTCTAACCACCAACCTTTCGGTTAACAGCCGAACGCGCTAGCCAACTGTGCCACGGAGGCTCTAACCGCTTCTTGATAATTAAATTATATATAGCATAAACAATAATTATACTTATTGAACAATAATGGGTATAAACAACAATTATTCTTATACCTAATAAACTACACTAATCTGTAACGCACGGCCCAACCGGGCCCGATTCACTTTACAGACAAATAGTTAACATTTACTTTACTCCTATAAAGTATACAAACTATACAAAGTCTACTTTCGGTTTGAGGGACAGCTTCTGAAACGCTGTACCCCCATGTAATAAATAATATGCGCTCAAATTAAAAGAAATGCCCGCGCTCGTCCAGGATTTGAACCCGGGACCTCCCCCACCTAAAGCGGGAATCATACCCCTAGACCAACTAACCGCATGTTCTACCCAGTGCGTGTTTGTGTTGCATCCAATGTACAACATTGTAGTAAATATTATATGCTCGAATTTAAAGAAAAGTCCGGGCTCGTACGGGAATGAACCCGGGACCTCCCGCACCCAAAGCGGGAATCATACCCTAGACCAACGAGCCACGGGTTGTACCCACTGCGTATTTGTGTTCCATCCAATGTACAACATGCCACGGGTTCTACTCAATAAACACATTTTACACATAATTAGCCGCTTACGTTTAATATCTAAGCCGAAATCATAACCCTAGACCAACAAGCAACGGGTATTATCCAGTGCATGTTTGTGTTGGAACCAATGTACAACATTGTTGTAAATAATATGTTCTCGATCCAATATACAATACTGTAGTAAATAATATGTACTCGAATTTAAAGAAATGAATAATATAATCATCAAATACTATTGAGTATATACAATATGCATTGAATATTCCAGAGTATAAACAATAACTGCTTTACGCCCCCGGGTGGCGTCGAACCACGAACCTTTCTCTTATTAGCCGATCGCGCTAGCTAATTGCGCCACGGAGGCTCTTATCGCACTGTTGATAATAGTAGGAGTAAATTATATATAGCATAAACAATAATTATAATTATTGAACAATAATGGGTATGAATAACAATTATTGTACGCCCCCGGGTGGGTTCAATCCACCAACCTTTCTGTTAAAGCCTAATAAGTAAACTATACATATGATAAACAATAAAATTATGAAATACTATTTCGGTTAGCAGCCGAACGCGCTAGCCAATTGCGCCACGGAGGCTCTTGTTGTGCTGTTGATAATAATATGAGTAAATTATATATAACACTAACAATAATTACAATAGGCCCTTGTCATATTGCTGATAAAACTAGGGATAAACTATATATATGATAAACAATAAAATCATGAAATACTATTAGATATAAACAATTTTTATTGAATATTCACTTTTTACACAAATAGTTAACATTTACTTCACTCCTATAAAGTATACAAACTATACAAAGTTTACTTTCGGTTTAAGGGACAGCTTCTGAAACGCTGTACCCCCATGTAATAAATAATATGCGCTCGAATTAAAAGAAATGCCCGCGCTCGTCCAGGATTTGAACCCGAGACCTCCCCCACCTAAAGCGGGAATCATACACCTAGATCAACTAACCACATGTTCTACCCAGTGCGTGTTTGTGTTGCATCCAATGTACAACATTGTAGTAAATAATATGTGCTCGAATTTAAAGAAAAGTCCGGGCTCGTCCGGGATTTGAACCCGGGACCTCCCGCACCCAAAGCGGAAATCATACCCCTAGACCAACCAATGTACAACATGCCATGGATTCTACTCAATAAACACATTTTACACATGATTTGCCGCTTACGTTTAATATCTAAGCCGAAATCATAACCGTAGACCAACAAGCCACGAGTTTTATTCAGTGCGTGTTTGTGTTGGAACTAATGTACAACATTGTTGTAAAAATATGTTTTCGATCCAATATACAATACTGTAGTAAATAATATGTGCTCGAATTTAAAGATATGTCCGGGGCTCCCAAAGCGGGAATCATACCCCTAGACCAACGAGCCACGGGTTGTACCGACTGCGTATTTGTGTTGCATCCAATGTACAACATGCCACGGGTTCAGAATATAAATAATAACTACTTTACGACCCGGGTGGGCTTGAACCACCAACCTTTCGTTTAACAGCCAAACGCGCTAGCCAATTGTGCCACGGAAGCTCTAACCGCTTCTTGATAATTAAATTATATATAGCATATCAATAATTATACTTATTGAACAATAATGGGTATAAACAACGATTATTCTTATACCCAATAAACTACACTAATCTGTAACGCACGGCCCAACCGGGCCCGATTCACTTTACACACAAATAGTTAACATTTACTTCACTCCTATAAAGTATACAAACTGAACAAAGTCTACTTTCGGTTTGAGGGACAGCTTCTGAAACGCTGTACCCCCATGTAATAAATAATATGCTCTATAATATGCACTATAAGATATGTCCGGGGCTCGTCCGGTATTTATCCCGATACCTCCGCCCGCACCCAAAGTGGGAATCATACCCCTAGACTGCCCACTGCGTGTTTGTGTTGGATCCAATGTACAACATTGTAGTGAACAATAGGCACTCGAATTTAGAGAAATGTCCGGGCTCGTCCGGGATTTGAACCCGGGACCTCCCGCACCCAAAGCGGGAATCATACCCCTAGACCAACGAGCCACGGGTTGTACCCACTGCGTATTTGTGTTGCATCCAATGTACAACATGCCACGGGTTCAGAATATAAATAATAACCACTTTACGCCCCCGGGTGGGCTCGAACCACCAACCTTTCGGTTAACAGCCGAACGCGCTAGCCAATTGTGCCACGGAGGCTCTAACCGCATCTTGATAATTAAATTATATATAGCATAAACAATAATTATACTTATTGAACAATAATGGGTATAAACAACAATTATTCTTATACCCAATAAACTACACTAATCTGTAACGCACGGCCCAACCGGGCCCGATTCACTTTACACACAAATAGTTAACATTTACTTCACTCCTATAAAGTATACAAACTATACAAAGTCTACTTTTGGTTTGAGGGACAGCTTCTGAAACGCTGTACCCCCATGTAATAAATAATATGCGCTCGAATTAAAAGAAATGCCCGCGCTCGTCCAGAATTTGAACCCGGGACCTCCCCCACCCAAAGCGGTAATCATACCCCTAGACCAACTTACCACTTGTCCTTCAATGCGTGTTTGTGTTGTATCCAATGTACAACATTGTAGTGAACAATAGGCACTCGAATTTAAAGAAATGTCCGGGCTCGTCCGGGATTTGAACCCGGGACCTCCCGCACCCTAAGCGGTAATCATACCCCTAGACCAACGAGCCACGGGTTGTACCACTGCGTATTTGTGTTGCATCCAATGTTGTAACTAATATGTTTTCGATCCAATATACAATACTGTAGTAAATAATATGTGCTCAAATTTAAAGATATGTCGGGGCTCGTCCGGTATTTTTCCCGATACATCCAGCACCCAAAGTGGGAATCATACCCCTAGACTGCCCACTGCGTGTTTGTGTTGGAACCAATGTACAACAATGTTGTAAATAATATGTTCTCGATTCAATATACAATACTGTAGTAAATAATATGTGCTCGAATTTAAAGATATGTCTGGGCTCGTGTAAACTACATATATGATAAATAATATAATCATCAAATACTATTTGGTATAAACAATATGCATTGAATATTTCAGAGTATAAATAATAACTACTTTACGCCCCCGGGTTGGCTCGAACCACCAACCTTTCGGTTAACAGCCGAACGCACAAGCCAATTGCGCCACGGAGGCTCTTATCGCTTCTTGATAATTAAATTATATATAGCATAACAATAATTATACTTATTGAACAATAATGGGTATAAACAACGATTATTCTTATACCCAATAAACTACACTAATCTGTAACCCACGGCGCAACCAGTGCCCAATACCTGTCCATACATCGGGCCCGATTCACTTACACACAAATAGTTAATATTACTTCACTCCAATAAACTATGCAACTATACTAAGTCTACTTTCGGTTTGAGGGACAGCTTCTGAAACGCTGTACCCCCATGTAATAAATAATATGCGCTCAAATTAAAAGAAATGCCCGCGCTCGTCCAGGATTTGAACCCGGGACCTCTTCACCCATAGCGGGAATCATACCCCTAGACCAACTAACCACATGTTCTACCCAGTGCGTGTTTGTGTTGCATCCAATGTACAACATTGTAGTAATAAATGTGCTCGAATTAAGAAAAGTCCGGGCCGTCCGGGATTTGAACCCGGGACCTCCCGCACCCTACGCGAAAATCATACCCCTAGACCAACGAGCCACGGGTTGTACCCACTGCGTATTTGTGTTGCATCCAATGTACAACATGCCACGGGTTCTACCAATAAACACATTTTACACATGATTTGCCACTTACGTTTAATATCTAAGCCGAAATCATAACC